AAGCTCAAGGCATGGCTACACACACTGTCAGTGCCACTGAATTGTTTCCTTAAACAAGGTTAAAATTGTAAACTTCATGTTACAGGTATCTTACTACATTAAATAAAGAGATCATGGTATGAAGGGATGGACTTGGTTTATCTGGGTAATTGTAATAATAACAAATGGAACATTCTACAAGGCTCCACTCCCTCCCCAATTCCATCAGAGGAGGATAGCAGAGAGGTGAGACAGCAGCAATGAGTGCAGATGACTTCCACTTTGTTTTTTGCTTTTGTGGTACTTGGGATTGAACCTAGGGCCTTGTGTATACTAGGCAAGCTGTCTATTACTGAGCTACATCCCCAGTCCTGCAAATGACTTGTGATCGTAGGCCGTGGATTTTATAGCCTGTTAGTTTGGTAACCCATGTGACATGGCTCCCCGGTGGTGACTTTGTCAAGATCAAATGGTTTAGGTCTATAAGGAAGGAGGCATACTTGTTCCTTGTGGTCCAAGGGATTGAATGTGTGGTTCATGGGATTGAATGAAGTCAGTTGGACCATCGTAGACTATATTAGAAGACACACATTGGCTCAGAATAAGGAAGTGCTTTCCACTAAAGAGAGCTGCCTGAAAGCAAGTGGACTATGCTAGGAGGTAGTTGGCACTTGTCACTAAAGAGAGTGAACAGGTGGTAGGGGTGGGCAGAGAGGGGTCCTCTGCTTTCTGTCTCTGTCTTTCTGAGCCCTTGCTGTGTGTCCAGGAGTCTATGAGATATTTTGGAGTGGAAGCTCATTAGCTTGAGTTCAGTAGGAATGGTTCTTCCCCTAAACATGCTTCACCTCCAGGTTTCCCCATTCTATTCTGTGTACCTGGGACCATTTGTTCTTTTTTTCTTTTTTAATTTTTATTTTTTGGTACTGAGGATTGAACTCAGGGGTACTCAACCACTGAGCCACATTCCCAGCCCTTTCTATATTTTATTTTAGAGATAGGGTCTCGCTAAGTTCCTGAGGCTGGCTTTGAACTCACCATCCTCCTGCCTCTGGGATTACAGGTGTGAGCTGCTGTGCCTGTCTCATTTGTTCTTGACTTCAGACCATTCACCCTTGAAATATCCCCTGAGCTGGGCTAAGTGACTGTGATGAGACAGTCTCCAGTTCATATTTTGAGATACTTATTTTAGATGTGGTTTCCTTTTGTGGCTCTGAGCATGGCAATTTTCATAGCCTGGAGAGAGGGGGAGAAGAGAAGGGGGAAAGTAAGGGAGGGATGGCTCCCTAAATTAGTTAGTTCAGATGCTGTAAGAAAGAACCAAAATAACAGTGACTTATGCTAGAACAGATGCTTATTTCTCACCCATGTGACCGTCTGGGAATATCCAGGACTGATGCCGCAGCCCTGTAGGATCCTTCTGTCTTGCTGTTCTGCAGTGCCCAGAGTGTTGTCTTTGGCAGTGTGGCCCTGGAAGCCCCTGTCTGTGTGCCAGCCAGTAGGAAGCGGGAGGAGAAAGAAGATAAGTTCCTCCTCTTCAAGGGCATGACCAGAAGTTGTACATATCTGCTTCTCTCAGATCCTGTTAGCCAGAAGATGCTCATGTGGCCACATCCGCCTACAAGGGAGGCTGTGATCTGTAGTTTATCTGAGTGGCCCTGTGCCTAAGTAAAATTTCTACAGAAGGGGAAAATGGCTAGAAGGGAACTGCTACTGGTTTCTGCCAGTCACTATGTACATTTTAATGTGATGATGGCAGTTAATAGCTTGAAGTTTAAGGATATAGTACATAAAGGCTTAAAATACTGATGAAGTGCTATCAGCTTCTAGCAAATATTTTCTTTTAGAATGGGAACATGGAGCTCAGACAGGGGAAGGCACCTCATTAAGACTGAAGAGCAAGGCTGAGCATGGTGGGTGGCTCTTGCCTGTAATCCCAGTGGCTCAGGAAGCTGAGGCAGGAGGATTTTGAGTTCAAAGCCAGCCTTAGCAACTTGTAAAAAAAAAAAAAAAAGGGCTGGGGTTGTGGCTTAGTGGTTAAGCACACATGGGTTCAATCCTAGTACCCCCCCCCCAAAAAAAAAAAAAAAGATTGAGTAGCAAAATATCAGAGCAGGAACTGGAAACCAAACTTTCTGCTATTTCAAGGAAGTCTGGTTGAGTGGGTGACAGACTGGTCCCTTGAGGTCAGAGAAGGGGTGACTTTGTCTTTCTCCAGCCTTACCTGGGGAGCTACTCATTGTTCTTCAGGAGTCTTGGGGCTATTAGGACCCTGAGGTGCTTTTCAGGGGCCCTCACTATATCTTAAAATGTATCCTGTACTGAACTGTACCAATTTATGTGTATATCCATCTTCCCTGTTGTAGTCTGCTCCTTGAGAATAGACGAACTTGGTCGCCTCTGACCCTACTGTCTCCCCACCCCTCCAGGCACTCAGTGAGTAGTTAAACGAATTTCTGAGTACATGAATGAATCTATGTTGAAGGACTTCTTCACTTGCAGATAATAGAAACTTGACTCAAATGGCCTTAAGGAAAAAAACAAAGATTGGCTCAAGTATTTGGCCGTCTAGGCATGTAGCTTGCTTCAGATATAGCTGGATCTAGGAGTAAGATATTTTCAGAGCTCTGTGTCTCTCTGATCCTTCTCATCATTTTTGTGAGAAATTTGCCCAAGGAGCCCCTGCAGGGATCGGAAGGAGTTGGGGCTTGGGAGATTGAGTGATGCTGGTGGTCATGGAGGGGTTAAGCAGTTCTTATGGGGCATCCCAGGTTCAGGGCATTTTGACCCAGAGCCTAGTGCATCTTGGGTCCTCTCTTGGGAGCGTCCCTGTGGCAACTACTTCTGCTGGGCTCTCTTGGTGCTGTGGAATTCTCAGTTCTCTTTGATTCTGGCTGTCAGGCCCATAAGGGTGGGCTTCCTGGGTCCATAGTCTAGGAAAGGAACCCAAGGAAGCAGGCCAAGTGCCCACCCATGAAAGCCCCTCCTCCTTCCTCTGGAGGAAAGGACAACTTGGCCCTTTGGGGAGTCCTGATCAAGAGAGGTGCTTCCTGTGCTCCCCAAATGCACAGAGTCAGCAGACATGCCCTGGTGACCCTAGGTCAGCAATCACCTTGACCAGTATGGACTACAGGTACGGACTAGCTTGTCATAAGAAGGGTCTTGAGAAGCAGGCAGAGGAATATATGTTTCCTTCTGTAGTGAATAGGGAGCCATGGGAGGTTCTTGAGCAGGGGAAGAATGTGAACAGATTCCTGTTTTGAATGCAGCTGAGAGAATGAGTTTGGAGGGGGGAAAAGTGGAGGTGGCAGGCACCCGCAGCAGTGGGGCGGTGGGGGAGGCAGCCCAGGAAGAACAGATAGGCCTTGGTTCTGTCTGGGGGTGAAAGAGAGGAAGGAATCTGGGAGCTCCTTCGTCCTTAGTGCTGGTGCTTCCTGCGGAGTGTGGGTAGGCACTGTGGAGGCAGCTGCTGAGGTTGTCCTGTGGGCTGCGGTGGCCCTTGTAGGGCAGGAAGTGGTGCCTGCCAAGGGTGCCTTTATGAATGGAGCACGGGAGGCTGCTGACTCAGCAGGCAGCAAGGCTTTGAGGCCACCAGATTTTGGACCGGAAGTGTCTGGAAAGGAAGTGGCTGCTCAGGGCTTCCCCACTGTGGGTGGCTGGGGCTGGCCAGGATGCACCGGGCTTAGCTGAGGGACTCCCTCAGCGCAGCTGCTGGGGGTGGGGGAAATTTGGCAGGGATTGGAAGGGTTGAGCCTGGGCATCTGTGACTGGAACCGAAGCTTTGGCTCTAGGTGAGGTTTGTTATGTGGACAGGCAGAGAGGTAGCAGGCCTGGCCTCGGCTGTGTTAACTGGCAATTGACACGACATTAACAAATTAATTTATCTGGGCTGGAATTTTTTTTTTCTCCTGCACAAATACAACCAAGTCATGTAGCCTGTCTGCCAGGGTCATTAGGAGATGGGGACCATTTGGATTCTTGCTGATTGGGGTCGGCTGGCATAGGTGGACACTGTTTACGTGGCTTGAGCAATCAAGCCTGTGGGACACAGGGAAGAGGCATGTGCAGCCTGCCTGAATTGGGCACCTTGGGGGAGATCAGACTGGAAGCAGGGCTGTACCCAGGAAGTCTAGGGTCCCCTGGCCTATGCCTGATTTGTGGCCATAGATCCACTTCTCTCTCAGTCCCGACTTCAGCCTTAGATGTCACCTCCACTCCTGGCCTCTTTCATTTCTGATGAGTCTTGGTGACTCAGTACACATGTGCAAATAAGCGTCTGAAGTCTGACACTCACATACTCGGCTACCTCCTAGACCTCCCCACTTGGAGTTTCTGTAAACTCCCACTTGCTTCACATGCCCATCACTGAACCCTTCCACGCTCTTTGCCTCAGTGAATGCCCTCCCAGTCATTGGGGCTCACAGCCAACCAAGGACAGTCTTGCTACTTCCTTTCTTGCTCCCCACATTCTCGACTGCTGTCACTTTTACCCAGACCTGCTTTGTCATTTTGGTCCAGGTCCCCTTGATTATTCTGCAGTACCTGTCAGGTTAAACTTTAGGAAGCTCAGCCCTGACCATGCCATTCCCACTCTTCGAGAACCTTCAGTGGCTCCCAGCTGCCTTCAGGGCAGAGTGCACACCAAGGGCTGATCCCCGAGTCTGGCTGCAGTCTGAGTTCCTACTGTCCCCAGCAGTTCTTGTCTAGAGTCAAGGTGATCTGTGCACAGCCTTGACCCACAGCAGGCTGGCCTTGCGTTCCTTGCTGTCTGGCCACCTTCTCACATTTGGATGCTCACATTATAGGACTGAGAGTGGATGCCAGCTGCCCCTGCCCACCTGTCCTGGTCCAGCCTCCCCACTGACTTCCTCCTGCAGCACCTCACCAGGTTCCCACAGCCAGGAGTCTTGCGGCTGGGGGCAGTTGCAGTGTTCTTCCAAGCCAGTCCTGGGGAGCTGAGAAGAAAGCGCCTGGGTAGGACCTTTGCAGACAAAGACCCCATTTCCTTTTCCTCTTCTCCACAGGCAGGGGCAGGGCAGTCTTCCACCACGGAGAGCCCAGCTGTCGACTGCCTCACGGGAAGATGCTGCACAGACTGGTCAGCCCTGGCATGGGTGTACATGTGGGCACAGCCCTGGGGGTACTGTGCTTCTGCCTCACAGGTGAGGGGAGGGTCAGCCATCATAGTAGTGTGTGTGAGAGTACTCACTCCCATCTGGGCTCCTGCTAAGCTGGTCTGGCAGGGCCACACTCATTTCCACCTCTTGGGATCCAGGAGGCAACCTTCTTTACCTTTCTTAGCATCCACTATCTTGTCTGTAGAATGGGTATGTGAGCACTGTGCACTAATGTAGTGATAGTGGAGTTTCCTGAACACACCGCGTGTTCCCTCCTCAGGTACCTTTGCATGTACCATTTCCTCTGCTTGGAACTTTTTCCCCTAGACACCAGCATGACTCCATCCCTTATTTTATTCAAGTGTTTGCTCAAATGACATCTCTGCAAGGTTTCTCTGGCTACCTTGTGTAAAATAGCGTGCCACCCTTTATCCTTCCCCATCCCCTACCTCACTGCATTCTTCCAAGTGTTCACTTCCACCTGACATACTGTACTTGGTTATTGGGAGCTGCTACCCTGCTCAAAGAGCAGGGTATATCTCCAAGGTCAGGATGAGCGTCTAACACATAGTAGGTAATCAGTAACCATAATGAAGGAATAATGTATATCCACACAGTTCTTGGTACATGGTAAAGAAATGTCTGCCTCCGAGGGGAAAGAGTCGTGTATCTGGCGCCATCTAGTGGTCATAAGGAGGTAATGCATGTCTCTACTGTGGCGGGTCTGATTTCTCAAGACAGGGCTTTGTATGGGTGACTCCCCAGGGGCTGCTCCACATGTCCCTTAGAAGGGATACTCTGGTCCTGCTGGAAGGGGATGAGAACTTGCTCAAATTCTCATGGGTTTCAGTAAGAGATCTGGAGCTAGCTTAAGACCTTTTGAGATCTTCACACACTGCAAAGATTATGTGTGTAATTTACAGTAAAAGTATTAACCATAAAATGCTGTTTTCCTAAACCGTCCATGGGTGCTATATTCAGTTAGCTTCATTTCAAGACCGACCTTCACATATCTTGAGTGTGCCTACCCAGAGCCCTTGCCTAATGTAATTGTTACCTAAGGAACGGCAGTGCTAGCCTCCCGGAGAAAGGCAGCAGACCCTGCCCAGTCTTCCAGAGCAGTGGAGGAGAGCTACAGCAGAGGCAGAAGTGCCTGGGTTGGGAGACTGCAGGGGAACTCCAAGGGACAGTGGCAGGAATGGGAGAGAGGATCCTGTCCCTGTCTGGGAGATCTGGACATGTCCTGGGGCCTGCTCTAGGGCTGGAGTTGACCTATGCTTCCAGGATTCAGGCTCCTGTCTTCCCTCACCCCAACCCATCAGCACACTCATTATTCTCCCTCCTGAATCAACTTTGAATCTGGCCACTTTTCTCCATCTATTTCTACTCTCCAAAGCCAAGTCACCACCACTTCTTATAAGGACCACTGATGTCACCCCTAACTGCTTTTCCTCCTGCCCTTCTACCATCTAGTCTCCCTCTGCAGTGGAGCCAGAGTGAATTTTAAGCATTATGCCTGATTAACACCCCCAACCCCATGACTTCCCATTACAGATAAAAAACAAGAATCAAGCAAACAAACAAAAGCCCCTAATTTCCTTATCTGGTCTCTCAAAATTCTCTGCATATGGTTCAGACAGGCCCTCTCCCATCAGGGTACCTTCTGGATGGTTTCATTCTGGGTCCTGCCTCAGAGCCTTCCCACCTGCTGTTCTACCTGGGACACTCTTACACCGGCTTTCTATCTCAGCTGAATATGGACTCTTTCAAGAGCTTGTGATTTACCACCACCATATTTAAAGGCATGGCTATTCTTTTTTTCTTGCATAAAAGCTAATGATATTTATTTAGGAAGAGAAGAAAAGAAAAAGCACTTGTCATCCTCTTATCCAGAGAAAATCGCTATTAGCATCTTGGTGAATGCCATGTTAGGTTCCACTTCCAGGTTTGTAAAAGTAGAATGTGCTTAGAAAAAATGCAACTAGCCCAGCAGATATAAAGTACCTGCCAGTGGTGCATGCCTGTAACCCAGTGACTTCATGGGCTGAGGCAGGAAGATCCTGAGTTCAAGGCCAGCCTGGGCAACTTAGCAAAACTCTGTATCAAAATAAAATATGAATAGGGCTGGGAATGGAGCTCATGGTAGAGCACCCCTGTCCCTGGTTTCAATCCACAATACTGCATACAAACATTTAACACAGTACCCTCCAGATTTTGTAAAAAGCTACTTTCTTTCCATTCTAGGGGTAAAACCTAGGGGTACTTTATCACTGAGTTACATTGTTATTTTATTTTGAGACAAATAAATTGCTGAGGCTGGTCTTGAACTTGTGATCCTTCTGCTTCAGCCTCCCTAGTCACTGGGATTAAAGGTATGCATCACTGTGCCTGGCTACCACCTTGCTTTCTAATCCATCCTCTGCTTCTTTCTTTCTTTCATACCCTAATCACAGGCCTGTGAGCATTTGTATGCTACTTTGTCCCTCTCTCCCATTAAGATATACGCTCTGCAGAATGTAACCTTGGTCTCATTCTCTGTTGCTTTCCTAACTCATGCTTGGCACAGAGTAGGTGCTCATCATATTCTTTTTGACTGAATAAAGAACAAAGGCAATGAACTTACTTTGGGTCTCAGACCTAAAAGGCAGGGTGAACAGAGCCTAGGGATAGCTGAGGAGAGAAGGAGGATCGGGGAGGCCCCTCCTCACCACCCACCCCATAACCCTTCCCCCAGAAGCCATGGCAATCCAGGTTCCTGAAGACCCGGTGGTGGCCCTAGTGGGCACTGATGCCACCCTGCCCTGCTCCTACTCGCCTGAGCCAGGGCTTTAGCCTGGCACAGCTCAACCTCATCTGGCAACTGATGAACACCAAACAGCTGGTGCATAGCTTTGCTGAGGGCGGGGACCAGGGCAGTGCTCTTCCTAGACCTGAGGCTGCAGGGTGTGTGTGTGGCTGACGAGGGCAGTTTCACCTGCTTAGTGGGCATCCAGGACTTTGGCAGCGCTGCTGTCAGCCTGCAGGAGTGGGTTGCCATCCTCTGCCTCACCACTGATCCCAGGACCCTAGCCCCACTGCTGACCCCTGTGCTCACAGCCACACATGCCCTTGCCCTGCTCTGCATCCCCCTACCCTTATTGTGTCCTTGACTCCCTGCTCTCTGCCATTCTCCAGCCCCCTATTCAAAACCCAGCATGACCCTGGAGCCCAGCAAGGACCTGTGGCCTGGATCCATGGTGACCATCACTTGCTCCAGCCACTGGGGCTATCCCAAGGTCAAGGTGTTCTGGCAGGATGGGCAGGATACATCCTTGACTGGCAATGTGACCATGTCGCAGATGGCCAATGAGCAGGGCTTGTTCGATGTGCACAGCATGCTGAGGGTGGCGCTGGGTGCTGATGGCACCTACAGCTGCCTGGTGTGCAGCCCTGTGCTGCAGCAGGACACACACAGCTCTGTCACCATCACATCTCACAGCAGCCCCACAGGTTTTTTTGTTTAAATATTTCCCTGAGGGAGGGAGCTTCTGGTTCTTTCTACAGGGGCTGGGAGGATCTAAATCTGTCTTCTATTACAATCTCCCAGAACAACGAGATGTCTGACCATGATGAGGAGAAAGCTGAGGGGACCCCAGGTGATGGCATGGTATCAGTGTTTGTAGGCTTTCTTGACTCTAAGGCTTTTCAAACTTCAGGGTAGGATAGAGATGCATCTAGTCAGCAGAGAACCTTGGTATAGGAAGGGGAGCAGTCCTGTTCAGGAGGGGAAATTGCTGGCTGGAACCCCTGAGAATCACTCAGCCCCAGTCCTGGACCCCTGGGATGGATCTTGTCAGTCCAAGGCCAACCTGTTGTTTCCTCTCAGACTAGGGGGACTCCATATCCGAAAATCCTGTTTTGGGGTCTAAAGAGAAAATAGGAAGATGGAACAGGGACTGGGGTTTGATGGTGGAGGAGGCTGTGGGGGGTATAGAGTCCCTGCCCGTCCTCACTGCCTACCCCTCCGGTCTTATCCTCAGGAGCTGTGGAGGTCCAGGTCCCTGAAGACCCGGTGGTGGCCCTGGTGGGCACTGATGCCACCCTGCACTGCTCCTTCTCACCTGAGCCTGGCTTCAGCCTGGCCCAGCTCAACCTCATCTGGCAGCTGACGGACACCAAACAGCTGGTGCATAGCTTTGCTGAGGGCCGGGACTACGGCAGTGCCTATGCCAACCGTACCATGCTCTTCCCAGACCTGCTGGCACAGGGCAACGCGTCCCTGAGGCTGCAGGGCGTGCGTGTGGCTGATGAAGGCAGCTTCACCTGCTTCGTGAGCATTCGGGACTTTGGCAGCGCTGCTGTCAGCCTGCAGGTGGCAGGTGAGCACCAGGAGTGGGGTGCCATCCTTTGACCCACTGCCCCACCACTGATCCCAGGACCCTAGCCCCACTGCTGACCCATGTGCTCACAGCCACACGTACTCTGCTCTGCATCCCCCTACCCTTATTGTGTCCTTGATTCACTGCTCTCTGCCACTCTCCAGCCCCCTATTCAAAACCCAGCATGACCCTGGAGCCCAGCAAGGACCTGCGGCCTGGGGACATGGTGACCATCACTTGCTTCAGTCACCGGGGCTACCCTGAAGCCGAGGTGATCTGGCAGGATGGGCAGGGTACACCCTTGACTGGCAACGTGACCACGTCGCAGATGGCCAACGAACAGGGCTTGTTCGACGTGCGCAGCGTGCTGAGGGTGGTGCTGGGCGCTGATGGCACCTACAGCTGCCTGGTGCGCAACCCCGTGCTGCAGCAGGACGCACATGGCTCTGTCACCATCACAGGTGAGGGGGCAAGATCAGTTGGGGAAGGACAGAGGGAGCAACTGCCTTTTTTTTAAGTAGAATCTCAAGATGGTCAGAAAATTTTTTAAAAAATCACTCAGATTTTGGGTGTCTCAAAATCTCCCAAACAAGAAATCCTTAAGAGACTTGCTTTAATGAGCTGATAAGAATCATTTATAATAATTTCTCTCTTAAGCATACTTGAGATGGTGCTTATGCTTCTTACACACAGGAAAAGTGCCTGCCTGGAATCTGGAGGAGTGGGTAGGAATTTTGGGGCAGCCACAAGGCACACCCAGGGACTTAGTCAGGGTGCTTTCCTATAGGAACTTTTCTGGGTGATGTGAAGGCATTGCTGAGTCCATGGGCACCATTTGATTCTAAAGCTCTGGGAGACAGAGGGGCCTCCTCGGGTGGTCAGCCCCCTCACCTGGGTCAAGGTCAGCCCTTCTCCCTGCAGACTGGAGCTCCCTAAAGGCACTGGTTGGATTGGCCAAGGCTGTCTCTGCTGCCCCCATGTGGTCAAGATGCCCACTAGACCCAACCTGCCTGTTGGGTGATCCCTTAATCTGTTTTTTAGGTCCCAGTTAGTCCAGGTGCAAACCCCTTGCATCTGGAGGTGCAAAGAGGGCTCAGATCCACCTTCAGGCCAAGGGAGGCAATCACTATCTGTGATTGGTCCTGAGAAGTCTCCGTCCAGTCCTTTCATAGCCTGTTTACTTAAGTCTGACTTCTCAGTTCCACAATCTGGGCCATCTGAGCTTTCCCAGGGACCTCCCACATCCCTGAGGTCAGGACAGCAGGTCCTGTGTATCTGCTTCTCTTTTTTTCTTTTCATGACTTCTGCTTGACCTTCCCAGCCCACCCAGCTTCTTATCTCCACTAGTCTCCTGTGTTTGCATAAACCTCAGGGCTCACTAACTTATTCCTGTTTTGCTTCTCCCCCTGGAATGTGCTGGGCCTTCCGTGGCCTTCACTTTTTTTTTTTTTTTTTTTTTGGCATAGGGGATTGAACCCAGAGGTGCTTAACCACTTAGCCACATCCCCAGCCCTTTTTAATATTTTTATTTAGAGACAGGATTTTGCTGAGTATTTCAGGGCCTTGCTAAGTTACTGAGGCTGGCTTTGAACTCACAATCCTCCTGCCTCATCCTTCCCAGCTTCTGGGATTGCAGGGCTGCTGCACCCGGCCATGTGTCCTTTGCTTCTGAGGAATCCAGAGCCAATGCCCACCCTGCTAGTCTTCTAGGGGGTAGGCTTATTCTTCTGTTTCCCTTAGGCATTTCCTTTCTGCCAGCCTAACTTCCCACTGCCCAGCCCCTCCCTAAGCCTGAGACCATCCTCTCCTTGGAGGCCCCAGCAGGTGCCTTGTGAGAGAGTCACTGTCTGTGTCCTAGGATGTTCTGAGCTATCTTGACCTTTCAGAGAACAGCATATGATCTGGAAGGGGAAAACAGTGTGTTCACAATAAAGACCAAAAAATGTAAGATAGAGTGAGGTGGACAGAGAACATGAAGCTCTCATTGGGGAGGAGGGAGGAATTTGAGATCATTTGCATGCTGGGTGCTGCTGTGTGCAGAAAGGGCTTTTGAGTTATAAATATGATTTCAGGAAGAGCATTTACTCCATTCTGTATTTTACACTTTAGTAGCTAAGATTTAAAGGGGTTCATTTAGGCTAGTGTTGCCAAATATGTTCCACAAATGAGGAAGCCGAGGTCCAGAGAGAAGAGGGTACTTCTCCAGGACCACAGACCAGGACTGTGGCTCTGAATCTTTTGGAAGTCAGGCACCTCTTTAAAAATTGAGTAAATGATAATTGTGATAGTTTGCATATAATTCAGAAGGTTCATGGCCCCTCTAAACTTGTCAGCAGGGGGGTCTGTGAATCTTGGCTCTCGAACTCTGCTGATGAACCAGGATCCGAATCCAGCTTTGGCCTCCCAGCCTAATTTTCCCTCCTCCCTGCCAGCCAACCTCCTGGTTTTGTTAGAGCAGGTCTGGCCTACTTTGGAGCCCTTGGCCTGCATTTTGTTCGGGCAGCTTTGTGCTTTGTAAAACATTCTGGGATTCAGACTCTCAGTCCTCCAGCTGGTCTCTCCCACACCTGATGGGGGTTAGCGATGTTGAGTGTGCCATGCCAAGCCTCTCCACGGAGAGGACTTTCTGGACCAGGATCTGGACATGGGGCCTGAAGAGGAGAGTCTGGGCCCCAGCTGGCTCTGTCCTTTACTAGGTGAATGAGGACGAGTCTGATCTGTGTTCCAGGGACCACCATTAGCTTATAGGTGAATGTAGAAAGAGACACTCCCTTTGAGGATTTCTGAAGCTCTGTCCCCTCCTTTGCTGCTGAAGCCCCATCCTGGGATTTCCAGATATATTTTCTTTTTGGGGGGGCAGTCCTAGGGATTGAACCCAAGGGTATTCTACCATTGAGCTACATCCCAGCCTTTTAAAATTTTTTATTTTGAGTCAGGGTCAGGCTAAGTTGCTGAGCCTGGCCTTAAACTTGATATCCTCCTGCCTCAGCCTCCTGAGTCACTGGAATTTCTGGAGTGTGCCACTGTACCCAACCAGAGTTTTTTGTTTGTTTGTTTTTAATGTGTACTCCTTGGACTGGCCCTCCTGGCTAGCCATGTCAGCTCCTGCTGACCTGGGTGTTGGGCTCCTTGGCTTACAATGTCCAGAGCAGCAGTTTTGCCAGCCACGCCTTCTGAAAGTAACATCTGCTGCAAGCAGATGCAGTGGGAACTTCCATGAGCTTTTTTACTGCTTATGGTGCATCTGTCCGGGTGCCTCTGCAGCTGAACTGTTAAGGACCCTGCTGGCTAAACTGCTGGTGGCTTCTGTAGAAGCTGCTGGTCCCGTGCTGCTGATGCCATGGCCATGTGTCTGCAGAGAGTGAGGAAGGGAGCACTGTTTTTGTTAGATTTTTTTTCCCCAAGACTCTGCCCAGGACCCATAAAGGGACCTGGCTGGGGGATGGTGAGGGTGATAGGCTCATGGAGGACTGTGCTCAAAACAGCTTCTGATCCTAACCTGGCTTGAGGTATGAAATTCCTTCTCTTTTGACACAAGATATCTAACAGGAGGTGGCTGCCTCAGTGTTTCACGTGACTGTTCCCCTGGCAGGGCTCCCTCAGACCTGCATGAATCCTTGAGGAAACTCAACCCTCTCTCCAGGGCCCTCATCTGGCACAGAACTAAGAATACATTTTCTGAAAAGGACCAGAGAGTAGTAAACGCTTTATGGGTCACATACGCTCTCTGCCTCTGCTTCTTTTTCCTTCTGTTCTTCCTTCTCCTTCCTTTTTTTTTTTTTTTTTTTTTGTAACACTTTACAAATGTAAGAATGAGTAGTAGTAGCAGCTCAGGGGCTGTAGTAAAACAGGCCACAAGCCAGATTTGGCCCACAGGCTGTAGTACTGACTCCTGATTCATAGGATGGAGATATTGCCAGGTGGGGCCGAAGTGGTCAGGAGGCCTCCCTGGGGCATGACTCAAGCTAGGTGGAGAGTTTGGGAGCACTCTTTGGAAAGGGAAACTGGCAATGGTGTGGAGGCTGGAAGGAGCCAGGTGTCTCTGCAGAAGGTGGTTAGGATGCCAGTTTGGCTGGAGTCGAAGTTCCTGCAGTGAAACTAGAAGGAGAGGCTGGGAGAGGGTAAGCAGCAGCCAGATCATAGAGATCCCTGAATCATCCGGAGAAAAATTGAAGCATTATTCTAAAATCAGTAGGGACCCTTAGAAGGCTCTTAAACATTATTCAAGTGTAGATTTCCAGGTGGAGGCCTGTCTTCGACAGCTGTAGCCCTGTCAGGGTTTGGCAGGTGATTGGAGAAGAGGTAGCAGGAACTGAAGTGAGCTTTATTCATGGGTTGAGGGTAGGGAGGGTGGGAGCTGCTGTTCGCACCTTGGAGTTAGGGGGTGCTGTCCTCAGGGGTGTGGGGCCAGGGATAACAGTTTCCTTCTCCCCTCTTCCCTCTCAGGACAACCCATGACATTCCCCCCTGAGGCCCTGTGGGTGACTGTGGGGCTCTCTGTCTGTCTTGTTGCACTGCTGGTGGCCCTGGCCTTTGTGTGCTGGAGAAAGATCAAACAGAGCTGTGAGGAGGAGAATGCAAGTGAGTGAGGGGGTGCGTGTGTGTACACACATGCGGGTCTTGGGATATGTTGCTGTCTTGATCCATTTTGTACTCTTATAACAGTATCAGGGACCAGGTAAGGTAAAGAGCAGAAGTGTATCAGCTCATGATTCTGGAGGATGGGAAGTCCAATATCAAGGTGCTAGTCTTGTTGTGTTGTTACTTGGCAGAAGGTAAGAGGGGACAGCATCAATCCAACTCATGATTATACATCATGGGGTAAGCATGTGTCTTCCTTGGTGTGCAAAACCTTAAGCTGCTGCTGTTGTGGGCTGAGGGTCAATACGAGTTGACTTTGGGGATTGGTAGCTGGGCGAGTGGCCATTGGTGGGTGGTACATGGGCAAACAGACAGAGGCATGAGCCTAGGTGTCAGCAAGGAGAATGGGGAAGAAATGGGCCAGGTGCAGGTAGGTGGGTGCCTGTGCTACGGATGTCTGGGTGGGCTAGTGGAGGCCTGGTGGGTAGACAGAGCTGGGTGCTCATGTTGGAGGGTGGCGGTTGACTGGGTTGGTGAGTGAGTGGGCAGGTAAGTGTGTGGGGTGGATGGACTGGCGGAGGAGTCAGTGAATGGGCCTTGGCTAGGTGAGTGGTGGGCTGCAGGCTGGGAGCTTGTTCACACTGTCCCAGGATCAGCTCTGCTCTAATCTCAAGCCCCAACCCTGTGCCTGGCTTTTGGATTGTAGGTGATGTCCCAGGTGGGACAGTGCAGGAATGAAAGTGGGGCTGAGAAAGTATTTTGTTTACTCTGAGTTCTTGTCTTCCAGGAGCTGAGGACCAGGATGGGGATGGGGAAGGATCCAAGACAGGTGAGTCTGAGCTTGGAGCTGGTCCTCTTGCTTGGGGGAACACAAGGGAAGGAGAGCAAACTTGGGGCCAGATTTGCTTTGAGGTTTGAGTGAAGTGCATCCCTTGACTGAGGTCTCCCATCCCAGAGTCGACTCTTTGCTCAGAGCTAGCTCTTTTGAACCCTTCCCTCAAACTGCTCCCTTTCTCCTGCCTACCTTGGCCCAGATGCCAGAGTTGATGTCACCTGATGAACCCTGCACTGTTCATTTTGGGGGCTTCTAAAGGGTGGGAGCATGGCCTCAGGAGACAGGGCAGACTGGGCTGTGTCCTCCAAACAGTAGCCTTCAGTAAGCCACTGTGCCTCTCTGGCCTCAGTGTAAAATGAGTTTCCTCTTGTGTAAAATGGACATAGCAACAGGTCTTTAGGTTTTCTGGGTTGGTTTAAATGGGATAACACATATGGAAGAAAATGTAGTACATACCTGGTGCCTAGTAAGTGCTTAATACAGTGGAGTCCTATTGCCATTAGGCAAAGAGCTGTGTAGCTTTGGGTGAGGTATTTTGCTCCTCCAGGCTTTAGTTCCCCATCTATAAAATATCAACCTAGTCCTTCCCTGATGGCACCAGTGCTCTTTTGAAGCTTTCTCTAGTGACTTCATAGGAAAGTGCTTTTCAAAGGACACGGAGCTGGAAAACCTGGAGACCTGCTTGGGGCGGGTGCTGAGGCCCTGGTGCCCCACAGCCACTGGAGGCCTCACTTCCAGGAGCACCCGGGCTAAGGGTGGCAGGTTCTTGCTGAGCTGTTTGGAATGGTTCCAGTTGACACCACTTCCCTGCCCACCCCCACACAAGGAAGGGCAGAAGATTGACACCTGGGGACTGCTATAAATTATGCCAATTAATTCTCCACGTGTTGGTGCCCATGTGGCAGGCGTGGAGACAGCCCTGGGAGCAGGCCTCATTTTTCATGCTCAGAGGCAGAGGTCATTGGCAGAGGGAGGGAGTGGGGAAAACAGGTGGGGCGGAGAGTTGGGCAGCCTCCGTTGCATATGATCCCAGGCTCCCCTGGGGACATCTGCAAATACACCAGCCTCCTTTTGCTCCTCACCGCACTGTCTGTACAGTGAGCTCAGTGCAGTTCCACTTCTCCAGCAGAGCAAGGTGTTTGTCCCCAGTCTATAGATACAGAAAACTGACAGAAAGGGGAGGGATAAGACACAGAATAGAACTAGGACTTATGGACTGAGGGTTAAGATGGCTCCCTAGGGCTCCTCCCTGGTGCAGTGATGGTGTCCCCATCCTGCCCACCTCTTCCTCCTGCCCCTTCCTCTAGTCTTTCCCTTTCTCATTTCTCCTGCTTCTCCCTCTCCCCCATTTTCCATGGTTTCTCCCTCAACGTAGCCTCCTCCTCTTCTTTTTTTTTTTTGCAGCCCTACGACCTCTGAAACAATCTGAGAGCAAAGAAGGTAAAGATCTATGGTGCTGAGCCTGCCTGTCTGTGCATTCATGCATCTGCATAAAGGAGGGTGGGTGGTCATCACCCTTCACTGGTGACCTGAGGCTTCCCCAGAAAGCAACCTTCCCCTGGTGAGATGGCAGAGGGCTGAGTAACCCAAGTCCTAGGTGCTGATAGGAACCATGTGACAGAGGCTCATCCAGGCCAGGTATTTCTTTCTCTCTCGTAATAGTCTGAGCATAATTAATCATAAAGCAGCTGATGGGCTGGGCCAGTTCCCACTTTCCAGGATTCTGTCCTCTTCAGCTTGAAGCTTCCATCCCTAGGTCCACAGGCCACTCCAGCTCCACACCCCATCCAAAGGCAAGAGGGGAAAAGGAGGGAAGGAAGTGTGTCTTTCTAGGGCGTGGCTAGAAATAGCTCCCTTTGCTTCTGCTTGCATCCCATTGGGCAGGACATAGTCATGTGATCCGTAACTCAGGTAAGAATGGAAATAAAGTTCCCAGCCAGGCATACACATTCCTGGTGTATAGCACTTGGTTAGTCAATATCAATTGTTGTTAAACATATTATTGTAACCTTAGTGGTTATCTTAGGGAATGTAGGGAATAAGTTGTCTCCCTCCTTGTTGTTTGGAACCAAATGAGCATAGAAGACTTGAGCAGATGGGGATGAGGGTGCCCGCCTGGTGCCTGAAGACAGCTGCAGGGAATGTGGCCCTGTGGGTGAAGCAGTGGGCTTCCTGATCCCGCCTCGCAGGGAGGCAGCCTGCCTGCCCTCCCCAGGTGTCTGGCCAAACTGGATAAGCACAGAACAGTGCCCGGATGGGAGAACTACTTTCCCTGGGGACACACAGAGAGGGAGGGGCAGGGTGACCCATGCCCCTGAGGTTTTCTTCAAAACACTCTGCTCAGGCCAAGATGTGGACAGAGGCCAAGTGGGAGTTGTTGCTCCACAGGGAGGTCAGAAGCCAGAGTGGAGGAGGTTCCTCTCAGCTGTGTTCTTAGGAGCATCCATGTGGGATGGGGAAATTGGGGAGGGGCTTCCTGCTGGAGGAGGGGGAATCGAGCCAGGCCTTGGAGGGCAGGGCAGGGGGCCCCTCAGGAGGGAGCTGTGCCGGGTGAGTGGGCTGGTGGGGATTGAGAGGTGGTCTCCCTCAGGGCCCCTCCTCGTCATGCCTACTACCCAACTCCTGTGTCCATGTGTGGGCCTCTAGCACAGAAGGCTGTCAGCCTTAATGTCCCCCCCCCTTTTTTTTTTCCTTCATGAAATACAGATGATGGAGAAGAAATAGCCTGATCAGGAGCTGCTGCCCCTGCCTGGGGGCTCCCACCCTCTGGCTGCATTGGGGCCTCCGTGTGAGTCTTCCCCCAACAGATGAGTCCTGCTCTGACAGGTTTGCCTGTTCCAAAGGATCGGTACACAGACTACCCTGCAGCCTTATTTCTCTCATGGACACAATTCCCAAGTCATCCTGCTGCCTTAGAACTCCAGCAACACAACACCAAATCTTCTTGCTGCTTTTTCTAATGGACACAATACACAGACCACCCCACGTCCTTAATCCCTCCAAAGCCACATGGGCCATCCGGCTGCCATTTTTCTCCAAAGGACACAATATTCAGACTAACTTCATGCCTTATTTCTCCAAAGGCACACTACACAGTCACCCATCTTGTTTCCCCATGGCTGTGATACACTAGTTACCATTTCTTAGCGCTTTTCCCATCCTGTGTGTAATCATATCTTCTTGAGTCTTGAAACTCTTTCCTGCCTCCTTTTGCTCTGGCCCTGGCCTTGGCCTTTTCCCACCCCCACTGAGACTGGGCATACTCCTGGCCACACACACAGGTGTGCAGAGGCCTGCAGCAGCACGTGCTGGACCACGTGTCATTTCCCCACCCACCTGGTTTTCCCTGTGCCGCCCTGGGCTGTGCCCTCTCCTCTGCCAGCCTTCTGGTAGGAAGCTGGCATCGGTCACACTGGTTCTCTGGGGGTCTGTAGAGGGCTCCCTGGGGGTCAGCTTTTATTCCTCTGCTTTTTCCGCCTTTGAGGTTTTGTTCCTTTTATTTACCCTGTAAATTAATGTTCGTTGAGCAACCATAGGGATCAGCACTGTGTTGGATGCTGAGGGCCCTGTGTGGGAGGCTGAGTCTCTCCTGCAGGATGTCTTCCTCCTGCTGGGAAACAGCTCACTGTGCTGTGGCCTGCTACTCCTGCCCTGCTCCCTGCTGTGCCCTCTGTGCCCACAGCTTCTGAGATACCTCACCCCCATCCCATCCGTGTCCCTCACCCAGAGCCTGGAATGGGACAGAACCCTGGAGAGAGAGACGCCCCCTTGCCACACTGGAGAAGCTGGTGGTTTTGGAGGGTCTTCCCAGGTGCAAGCTGCAGGCAGGAGGCTAAGGCCTCTGGACCTTGGGTAACAGCCTCACAGTTAAAGTGGGACACCTCTCCTCACTGACTGGAGCCCAGGGAATGAAGGGACTGCTTCCTCATCACGGTGCTATTCTGAAGCCAGTGCAGACACCTCCTGGCTCGTCTCTGGCCAGCCCCTGGCCTGCAGTAGAGTAGAGCTTCACATGTTCTGGTCCTCCTGATACCATCTCTCCCTACCTTGGGAATGGAAGATGCGAGGATTTCTAATTTAAATGTGGGACTCTGTAAACTGGGGGTGTACTTTGGGAAAAATAAATGCCTTGGTCAAAAGCCTTTCCTTTGTGATGTGTCTGGATGCTGTGGCAAGGGCCTCAGGTCTCAGCAGGAAGGAGCCCTCCTGGACGTTTCAGGCTAGAGTCGGGTCTCCGTGGCCCTGTAACCCCGTCAGTTTTCTGGCCTAGTTTCCTTCTTGAAAAAGTGAAGTTGACCCACCAGGAGGCCAGGCTCTTTGTGAGGGACTCATCCCACTTATGGAAGTGTCACCAATTTTTCTGCCTCAGAAAAGTAATCCTAGGCTTATTTAGGGCCTCTGCTAAAGTCCCCATTTTACAGATGGGGGAGCTGGGGCCCAGGAAGATGCTGACACCAGGAAAAGCTATTGTCTACATGATATTGTCTGACCCAGTGGAATGGGTACCAGGCTGGGACTCAGAGGCCCAGGCTCAGGCCCTACTTTTTTTTTTTTTTTTTTTAATATACAAAGGATTGAACCCAGGGGTACTGACCCACATCCCCAGCCCTTTTTAATTTTTTATTTTGAGATAGGGTCTCACTAAATTGCTGAGGCTGGCTTTGAACCCATGATCCTGCCTCAGCATCCTGAGCTGCTGGGATTACAGACATGCACCACTGTACCCAGCCCCAGGCCCTACTCCTGCCCTGTGATGCTGAGCTGGACACTGACCTTTTCTGGGCCTTGGTTTTCTTGGATGAAAAATCTACTTAAGTTTTAATCATCGTCCACGCAGGAAATCTAAGAGGAGGGATGAATGTGGCAGGTTTCCAGAACCAGACTCAGGGATGTGTGAGCCTGCAAGGTGTACTGCATTCCTTTTGGATGACTATCTCTGTACTGGACCAGTGGTCAATTTCAGAGCTTTGAAGGTCCTGGGGCAGCAGGAGGAGCCTAGGTGGGGATCAGGATGCTTGGCTTTTAACCCTGACTCGGCTACTAATTTGTGACCATATTCCTCATACCTCTGAATCTTAATTTCTTCATTGAACCGATGACGAGTCCTCTCCTAAAAAGCATGTGACATTCCTTACAAACTGGAGGTTTTGGTGTAAAGTTAATGTCTCTGTAACATAAGCCATCTTGCTCAAAGTCCCATTGGTGCTCTGGGTAGATTTTAGAATCAAAAGACTAGTGGCAGAAAATTGGCCTTTGCCCCTAAACACACCCTCATGCCCTTGAATGTGTTACTTCACCTCATGGAGCTTGGATCCCCTCCAGAAGTGGGTAAGCAATAAAGTGCTTGTTTCAAAGGATAAGAAGTTCCAGCAAAGTGTGAAGTGCTGGGTACCTGTGTGGGTGAGTTCTTCCCCTTTCCGCATCCAGGGCTACACACTGTTGCTCTCTAGGTGATTTTGTAGATTGGACACAGTAACCCAGAGCTGTCTGGGCCTCTTGGCCTATCTGTAAAACAGGCATAATGACCAATGCTTTTTCTTTCTGTCAGGGCTGGAGTAAGACTAAGACATGTTGTATCAAGTGCTTGAAGGAGGGACCCAGCAGCTGTGGGATTTGCCTGTGAGCTGAGGGGTGAGGAGAGTGGCCACCAAGTTCCCCAGTGACGAGTGCCCTCAAGAGCAGTATTTTTAGCTGCCCTTCCTGGGCAAAGCTCCAACTCCTGCATTTTAATGGAGAAATAATTCTCACAGTGCGACAAGCTGTAGCCTGCAGGTGTCACATTCATATTAAAGAGGGGACAGAGTGAGGGTTCATTTGCCTGGCTCGAGGTGTGACCGGAATTCGTGAATTCGCCTCCAGGACCATTTGTAACCATGACTGTGAAGACCAATTAGTGGGCCTGACCACTCACCACACGTAGGGAGGAGATGGGGGAGGGATGAAGGTGGTGTGCTGGGGACCCTGTGTCGTCCTGCTTCTTTTACTTGCTTGTTACAGAGTGCACGGCTACACACACACAAACGAAGGATGCCTTCCCCAGGGGTCTGTTCAGGGAGACATGCCTGCCCTTGCCTTGTCCCAGGATGCAGTTCCCATGTGGGCCATTGAACAGAGACCCTAGTGCCTTCTGAACAGGGCAATGTAAAAAGATCCAGGTGCAAAGTCCAAGTTTTAAACAGAGACATGGATCTAAGTTTGCCCTGAGTAGCCAAAATGCCTGTCCTCCAAATACAAGGGCTAGGAGAAGCAAGAGCTGGAGGAGGTTGGGGGACTGGGGTTGGGGTGGGCATGGAGTGGACCCGGTGGGCGGCAGACCTGAACAACACATGCAGACCACATGGAAATGTAGAAGGTGGTTGTTCTCACCTCTAGTTCCTCCACTCAGAGGGAAGTGTTCTTTAGGATTTGCTATCCTTCCAGACTTTTCTCCAGGCTTCCACATTTACAAAAATGCAATCATACATATTATCTTGCAACTTTTTCTGTTTTTCTTTACCATTTTCCTAAGTCAGGTCTAGAGTGCCGTCCTCGCTTCAGTCCTTATATTGATGTGTAACTCACATCTAGTGTTTAAAAGATGCTAATTCCCAGTGTGTGGTTCTATGAGTGTTCACACAAGCTTCTACTACTCAGATAGGGATGTAAAATAACTCTGAAATTCCAGAAAGTTCCCTTGCATCCCTCTCCAGTCAGTGTTGTTATCTGGAGATACTCTTCTGGCTGCTTTCCCCTTGGATTAGTTTTGCTTGCTCTTGAACTTCACATAAATGGAATCCTACAGTGCCTGCTATTTTGTATCTAGCTTCTTTCAAAGACCTTCTTTGTTCCTTTTAAGTGGCTACGTAGCATCTCAGTGCTGCTGTTCTAGAATGTATTTTGCCAGTTCCTATGGTTTGGATATAAATAATGCAGCCTTGTACGTCAATTTCCACAATATGGAGTCGTAGAAGTGGGATCTCTGGATGCATTTTAAATGCTGGTAGAGTTGCCAATTATTTGGGCTGCCTTTTTAGCCAGTCCCACATAAGAAAGTGCCTGCAAAGAACACAGGGCCGCGAGCAAAACTGATTCTAGACAGGGCAAGAACTGTGCTTGGAATTAATGCTCTGGCCGGGCTCTCAGGGATTCTCAGGGGTGGACAGGGCCTATGGTCATCCCATCCTCACATCTCCTCTATCTTTGTGTCTGAGGACCCCAGTCCCTGGGTGAATGTGTCTGCCTCCTGCTGGACGGTGGGGGTGCTGCACCACAGTCTGAGTGTGTGCCAGGGCTGGACTGAGCTCTGTGCCCAGGAGAGTGGCCATAATTGATGGAGGAAGTTCATCAGCATATTGCTGATGTAGGTGCCTCAGGGCAAGAGAAATCTTCTGCACTTGTGTCTGAAGGTATTCATGACATACCTTTGGCTCCACCAGCTCCAGGGAATTATGGTGACACCATTTTATCATTAATGAAGCAGTGCTCTGAGAGAGCAGAGAAAAGCCTGTGTTTCATGGAAGAAGGTCTGTGATCTTTGCCACCAGCCTTTCCCCAGTATCTGAGCAGCATAATATCCCTCTCCCCTCCACCTCCCTGGAGGTATCTCCACCCCCATAACCTCCTCTGGACATGTTTCACAATTGTTCCTTTTAAATTGAGGCCCTGACTTGGATCACAATATTTCTGCTCATAATTGGCCAGCCCCTCACCTCCTCAATCCTGTTTACTATGCTCCTAGTGATACAGTTCCAGATCTTATTAGTCCAATAGTTTTCAACCCTGGCTACTCATTAAAATCACTTAGGGCTCTTTAATAATGCTAGTGTCCTGGCTGCTTCTCCAGAAGTGATGATGCAATTGGTTGAGATCATTGCTAAATATTTGATGTGCATACCCCAGGGGCTCCAGCCTGGCTTTTAAGTTAATGCAAAATAGAATTCAGAGGGACCAACCTTTGAGATTAGGCACTTGAGAAAAGCCAGCTGTTCTTAGTGATCACTGTATCAGACCAAAAAAAGTGATCAAGTTTAGTATGGAGAAGAGGAGGGCTCTATTCACAACACGGGTCCAGGGGACAGCAGGAACCTCAAGTTTTTGCCATCAGACCAGACACCAGGCTCCAGGAGAGCAAGGATGGGGTGCCACAGATGACAGCTAAATTTCTTTCAGCTTGTGTATAGGAAATTAAGGTCCCTCCCTACTCCTGAGTGTCACCTCCTCCCTCTTCCACTGCTTCCCTTTCTTCCTCTGTGCCTCTCTCTTGTCGCCCTTGGGCCTCCAGATGTGCACAGTCACGTGGCTGGTTCAGGCTCCCTCCTCCCTCCAGCACTGTGTGCTCCACGGAGGGAAGGACCATCTGTCCTGCTCCCCTTAGCTGTCAGTCTGTGCATTTGTGCCAACCTCAGAGGGAAACAGCTTTCTCTGTCTTCCTGCCCCCTCCCCACATCATAGGTGTGTTCCCCCCAGGGTATCCTGGGATCTCCACTATCCCATAGACCCGTAGTCTCCTGAGTGACCAAGTGCAGCATCTGGAGCTCCTCTACCACTGTCTCCCACCCCCACAACCTCCTGCAGGTCTCTGGCCCCTAGTTCTTCCTGTTTCAAGACTTACCTACCTGGAGTCTACCTCCTGAGTTCCAGGATTCACAGGCCTCACGTTCCCTGGGTCTGAGTCTGCACCCTGTTCTGTTTCCTTCTTGCCCTTGTGTCAGCATCCTCTCAGAAAAAGCCCCTGCTCAGCGTGACCCCACTCCGCCCCCACTGTTGGGGGTGGGAGAGGGCATCATGTCTCTGCAGAATGCCAACCACTGATCTGATGTTTTGCCTTACTGGCTAAGATAATTGAGTATAATTTGCTGCTAATGAATGAACGCACTTCTTGTTCCTATTGCTTTTGTAATTGCATCAAGGTCCATGTGCTTGCCGATGGCAGTTTAGTGGACATTCTTGGAACTGAAGCTGGTCAGGTTACTTAGGTTGCTCAGCCTCCTTAGATGACCTGGTCAGGGGCCTTGGTGACCTGGGAAGCATGACCAGGGTGCTGATTTCCTTGGTGCCTATGCATGCTGTTCTTCTGAGAGTCCTACAGTCTGCGGCAGCCAGGAGGATCTGGGTCAGCCCAACGGGAGATCATGCTGGCAGCTGGACTTCCGGACCTAGGACA